CAATGCCCCCCATTTTCCCCATGCCCCCCCCCCCGCCCCCCCGATGGTCAGTGCACATCATAGCTTGTTCAGTTCCACCATTTGGTCTATTTGTATATTAGTCTTTTATTATATAGGATAGTTGAGTTTTACTTATTTTACAATTTGGATGCCTTTTATTTCTTTGTCTTGTCTGATTGCTGTAGCTAGGACTTCCCACATAATTTTGAATAGAAGACATAGTAATGGGCATCCTTGTCTTGTTCCTGATCTTAGATAAAAATCCAGGACCAGATGGCATCTACCAAACATTCAAAGAAGAATTAAACCTATCCTTCTTAAACATTTTTTTTTTAATTGAAGAGGAAGGAACACTCCCAAACTCATTTTATGAAGCCAGCATTACCCTGATACCAAAAGCAGATAAAAAGACATTACATAAAAAGGAAATTACAGGCCAATATCCTTGAACATAGATGCAAAAATTCTCAACAAAATTTTAGCAAGCCTGATTCAACAATACATTAAAAGGACTATACACCATGATCAAGTGGGATTTATCCCAGGGATGGAAGGATGCTTCAACATTCGTTAATGTGATACATCACATTGACAAAATAAAGGATAAAAACCATATGATCATCTCAGTAGATTCAGAAAAGGCATTTGACAAAATTTAACATCCTTTTATGATATAAACTCTTCAATAAAGTAAATTTAGAAGGAATATCTCAACATTATAAAGACAGTATGTGACAAGCCCACAACTAATAAACTTAGTGGTAAAAAGGTTTGTATTTTAAATGTTTGAATCATTCAGCAACTTTTTCATTGCCATTCTTTATTCACATATAGTCCGCAGAGTTACATTCACAAGGGGTTTATTTGTTTACTAATTAAGCTGTGGCAGAAGTTGAAAACTAGCAGACTGTGAGCTGAATCCAATCTATATTAAGTGTTTTGTTTGGCTCACACAATATTTTTAAAAGTGTGAAATTATAAATTAAAGTAGATTTTTGGATTTTCTTGAAAATGATAAGCTCTGTCAGCATTGTTCTTGAAGTCCTCTCTGGCAGCAGTCTGGATGGGAGCACCAGCATGGCCTTTAGAGGGGACATGGGCGCTCCAGTTTGCCAGATCTCCACAACTTCCTGCTATCTCAACCTCATCTCCTTGTTGCATTCATTTACTTTACTTGCCTGGCCTTCTAAGCAATTTGGTGTTTTGTTTTATTTTTTTAATATATTTTTATTGATTTTAGAGAGGAAGGGAGAGGGGGAGAGAGAGAAACATCAGTGATGAGACAGAATCACTGATCACCTGCCTCCTGCACGTCCCCACTGGGGATCAAGCCTGCACCCCAGGCATGTGGCCTAACCAGGAACCAAACTGTGACCTCCTGGTTCACAGGTTGATACTCAACCACTGAGTCACGCTGGCTGGGCTTTTGAACTCTGCCCCAATTTTCCAAGGAATTTTTGTTCCAAACTAGAAAAATCTATATGTAAAACTACTGAGCGGGTGATGGTAGATATGTATATATGCAATATTTTAAGTACTGCAGCATATAAAATTTTAAAATTAGTACATAATTGTACTGGTACTATCTTACAGCAACTCAACTGACACCAAATGCTCTATTCCTTCTTGTGCAAGAGAAAGGAATGATAAATGCATCTGTGACTAGGAGAAGGTTTTAACAAACCCATAGATTTTTAAGAGCTTTCCAGTAACTCTGAGTTAGAATAAAGGTTTTTGATATCTATGTATCATTATTTATAATTTTGTTTTTTCAAGATGATGGAGGAAGATCTACAAGGATCTTCTCAAGTTAAAGAAGAATCAGACACAACAGAGCAGAAATCAGAACCAATGGAAGTGGATGAAAAGAAGCCGGAAGTAAAAGTAGAAGCTAAAGAGGAAGAAGAGAGCACGGCTAATGGTGCCGCTTCCCAGTCAGCATCTCCTTCGCAGCCACGGAAAAAAAGTAAGTTGTGTTTTCTTGAACTTATTGAACTGTGCTGCTTTGCCATTGTGTTGTGATTCTACATTATGGGTTAAAAGCTAAAGCAGAAATAGAATTTCATCTCCCCTTTTATCTGTTTTGCCTGCTATTCTCCAAGTTGAAGTAATGACATCAAGCTGGACTCCTCCCTAAGAATCCACAGGTTCATGGCATAATAAGAAACAAGCCTTGGCTCTAGGGGGCAGTTCAGGGGCGCACAGCTGTCTTCTGAGATGTCCTGGCTGTGGGACTGGAGTTCAAATTGCATCTGAGTCCTTGAGCAGGCCAAGGATCTTGGGCTTCACTCAGCAAGGCATGAACAACCACTGACGGATTCAAGCAGGAAAATGACAGAAAGCCATGGTATTGGGGAAAATATCACCATGGCAGCACACATGTAGGAACCTGTAGGTTTTTGCTGCTACAGATAAGTGCCCAAAGTAACAAGTGGGTGGAGTGGGACCCAGTGACCTAGTGCAGTAGGAGTGGGTGGGGGCAAATTAGTGAAGATACTTTGGGTTCTGAGCTGTGTCAGGTGAGCCAGCCTCACAATGGATGTGATTTTTATTTTATTTTTTTATGTGATTTTTAAAAATCACTTTGAGAGGTGTCTAAAAAGTAAAGAAGGTAGCAGGGTATCAGAAAATTGTCAGGTGACCCTTGGAAATGTGAGGACAGGGCTCAGAAGTTCAGGCCTGCAGGTGCTACATTTGAGAAAGATGGCAGAGAAATGTTAGCGTCTATTTATGTACAGTTTTGCTGCTAGAAGGGACCCTGGAGATTATGGAGTACAGCAGTTCTCAAATTTTTGGTCTTAGACATCTCTGTACTCTAAAAATTGAGGACCCCAATGAGTTTTTGTCTGTATGGATTATCTATTGCTATCTACTCTATTAGAAATTAACATTGTTGGCTCAGTTTGGAATTTTGAAAATATTTAGTTCATTTAAAAATAAATCTATTACATAACACCCATAAATAATACATTTTATGAAAAACAATTAATAATTAGTATAATGCCATTGTTTTTTACAATTTTTTTGGGCTCAAAGACAAAAGTGAACACAGCTGCATTCTCATGTCTGCCCCTGCTTGTACTTTGTTGTATTACATTGTTTGGTTGAAGTACATGAGGTCCCATTCCAGGTAAATAGTTGATAAAGGGAAGAATAACAGCCTTTTTAAAGAATTGTGATTTTCTTTTTTGATACTACTACAACACTCAACAAGTCAAAGTTTCTTAAAGATTAGTTGTAGTGTGAAATATGAATCCTTAGCACTGAATTTTTCAAACTCTGACATTAGAGTCCATTTGTCTGTTTTGTGCTTTGAATTGATCCTTTCCCCTTTCATGCTTTTCTTTATAACATGATCCTTTGGTCATCTAGAAATTTGGTTCACTGAATTATGCATATCTTCCTAATGTTAGCATACTTCACTGTACAATAATTTTTTAAATCACATTCATTAACATCACTATGAATCTCTTCAAAAAAGTTTTGTAAATTTCAAGCAGATATCAAGCTCATGTGGTAGATACAAATTTTTCAAAATTCTGATTTTTTATGAGAGTCCAGATTTTATCTTTGGCAAAAAATACAATCAGTTGTCCTTGAAATAACTCCCACTTTGTTCATTTTTGAGAAAATGTCTGCCACATACCCACTTCAGAATAACTGTAGCTTGTCTATCAATCATTCCAGTTTTATGTGTTTCATTAAAAAAAGAAGCAGTGACTTCAGCTCTCAACACTCGTACAAGTGCTTTCTCTCAAGACAAGCACTGCATGCAGTAGAAGTGCCTTATACCAACTTCCCGTTTGTTTTTTTTCATATAGGGTAAAAGATGTGTAGCCAAGGGTTGAGGTTTAAGGAAAGTAATAATTTTAACTGCTTCAGCAAGAATATTCTTAAGTGCAGCTGGCATTTTCCCGTGCGTGCACAGTGGCAGCAAAGATCATAGTGACTACTAAGTCAGGTTTGGTGAGGTTGCTGCCATGCTAGAAATTTTACTCCCTCCTGTTAGTGCCCCATCTGTGTGAAGATTAACACGACATAAAAGGCAAATAACAACTTAGTGTTACTATGAAAGTTGTTTTATATTACATAAATAAATTTGATTTCACAGACCCCCTAGAAAGGCCTAAAACAGTGCTGGAACTTTTTCTGCTCTCCATTACGATGTTCACCAGCCAAATGCAGCTCCTGAGTACTTAAGAAGTGACAAGTGTGACTAAAGAATTAAATTTTAAATTTTATTTAATATTAATTCATTTAGCTTTAAGTAGCCACATATGGCTGGCAGCTCCCATATTAGCACAGTTCTCTTCATGGTACCCATGGTCCATGCTTCGAGGATTACTGATGTGGTACACCCTGCTGATTGTATGGAAAAAGCACACCATACTCTAGTAGCAGAGAACTTATTTCAAATAAAGACACTAATTTGAAAATACTTTTCCTCTGCTTAAGTGTTAAACAAATGTGTGGTGAAGGCAGCTGTATACCAAAATCAGCTGTATGTAAGCCATGTCATTTTGTTACCTTTAGGGAGATGAGGTCTGGAGCAGGGTCAGCAAACTTTTCCTGTAAAGAGCCAGGCAATAAATATTTTAGGTTTTGTGTGTCATAAGGTCTCTGTTGCAACTACGCAGCTAGGTTGTAGGATACAAATGTTGTTTGATGAGACAACATCTCAGCAAATCAGCACACTTGTGTTCTAATAAATTTTTATTTTGGAGACTACAATTTGATGTTGTAAATTTTTACGTATCAGGAAATATTTTTCTTTTCCTTCCCCAACCATTAAAAACAAAAATTATTCTTAGCTCACAGGCCTTCAGATTTGGCCAGTGGGTCAGAGTTTGCTGACCTCTAGTCTAGTTTGCTGACCTCTAGTTTAGAAGAATGGGAAAAACCTCTTGATTAACTTAAGAACTACTTTCTTAGAAAGTTATTAAAAGAAAACAGAATAGAAGAAAGGAGTTCGCTGAGAGCAGGATGCCATGTTTCCATAGGAATGTTCGCTGGAGAGCACTGAGCTGGGATAATCCATATGCTCGCTGATCTCCAGCAGCTGTCCCAGGTCTAAAGCAGCCAGGTGTTCCTTTTCCACAGCAGGTCAGTCAGGACACATGGGCAGTCCCTTTCTCTGATGGCAATAAACTTCGGGAAACTTCTCAGAGCCATGATTTTCATCTCTCAGTATACTCGATGTATGCCACTTCCCAGCTAGGACTTTAAATGTTTATGGTATGTTAATCTGATTTTTAAATTATAGTTTACCACATGTCAGTTCTAGAAAGTCTTTTTAAAATATTAAAAAAACAACAACAACAAAGAGAAAATATATTATCACTTATAACCCAAGTCATCAGAACTCCTCTGACGTATTTGCCTCTTATTGGTCAGTTTTCTATGCATCGGATGTGTGTGAGCAAGGTGGGGTTGTAACACACTCACTGCTGCCTGACCTGCTGCTTGCTTTCAGAGGCTATTGTGCACATTTCTCCATGTCATTAGAACTCATTTGGGTTTCATGTGAATGTATCATCTTGAATGTATCTGGCAGCCACTGTTGGTCCTTGGATTGGGACAACAGAAAATATAGTAGGAAATGCAATAGCTGAGAGGTTGGAGAAATGGGCATTGGTAAATGTGGGAGGGAAGTATAGAATTTGGGGGGAAAATACTTATTTTTATAGCTCTGTTACTGTGTACATTTGTGAGGTTGTAATACAAAACCATTTGTCTCAGGTGGTCTGAGTTTACTTTTAGGCAGAAAAGTCCCTTCCACCATTTGATCAATGAAGCAGAATTGGGAGTGAGCTTCATTTTCTGTTCCAACAGTTTTAATGTTGAAATTTCTCACTGAAGAGCAAACTTAGTATGGTATTATGCCTCATGACATGTATGCAGTTTTTGGAAACCCCAATATTATTATTATTTCAGAAACCCTGGATTTGTAGCTTTAGAATTTAGAATTTCTGTGGACTCTGCTGAATGAGAACCCTAGTAAGCTTCAACTGGGAGGGAGATGACTCAGACCTTCTCAGAAACGGCCAGGCTTTCATTTGAAGTGTCATAAAGGAGGGGTTTGGGTGCCTTGTAAATAGTGTTATTTTTCTTATGCTTTCCAACTACAGTCTTTAAGCCGGAGGAATTGCGCCAGGCTCTTATGCCAACCCTAGAAGCGCTATATCGACAGGATCCAGAGTCCTTACCTTTTCGCCAGCCTGTAGATCCCCAGCTCCTTGGAATTCCTGTAAGTTCATATTGTAAAAATATATTATAATTTTACCAGTGTAACTCATGATTATCCATGTTTTATTTCTTAAAATTGGGTAAAATAACCTTGTTTTGTAGATTTTTCTCAAAATATTAAAAAAAGTTTGCTGCCAAAACAGTAATGCACCTTCTTACTAAAATGTGTTTCCCACCTGTTTTGTGAAACCACAGGGTCTATGGAAAGGTTAGGGTGTGTGAGAGGGGACTGTGCACTGGGAGCACCACCCACTTGCTCTGGTTCACAGCCTCTGGCGACTCACTTTATATTTGGGGTTTTATGTAAGACTTTGTCTAAAAAATGAACTTAAAGAATTGGTGAACATCCTATATAATAAAAGGCTAATGTGCAAACCAACCGAACAGTGGAACAACTGGTCGCTATGATGTGCACTGACCACCAGGGGGCAGACGCTTAATGCAGGAGTTGCCCCCTGGTGGTCAGTGCACTCCCACAGGAGGAGCACTGCTCAGCCAGAAGCCCTGAGCTCGGCCCATGGCGGGCAAGCACAGTGGCGGTGGCAGGAGCCTCTCCTGCCTCTGCAGCAGTGCTAAGGATGTCTGCTCCCTGGGCCTAAGCTGTCAATCAGACATCCCCTAGGGCTTCTGGACTGTGAGAGGGTGCAGGCCAGGCTTAGGGAACCACCCCCCAAGTGCATGAATTTTGTGCACCCGGCCTCTGGTCAATTATAAAACACATGGGCCTCTCACTTTGATATCCCATGGCAGAGGCCATGGTGACCCAACTGATTCTTTATATACATATACACATACACACACACACACACACACACACACACACACACACACGATTTTTTACAGAGAGGAAGGGAGAGAGATAGAGAGTTTGAAACATCAATGAGAGAGACATCGATCAGCTGCCTCCTGCACATCCCCTCCTGGGGTTGTGCCCGCAACCAAGGTACATGCCCTTGATCGGAATCGAACCTGGGACCCTTCAGTCCACAGGCCGACACTCTATCCATTGAGCCAGACTGGTTAGGGCCTGAGGACATGTTTTTATTGATTCTTGGGGAGAGAGAAACATTAATCAGTTGCCTCCCAGGGATCGAGCCCTTAACCTTTTAGTGTATGGGATGATGCTCCAGCCAACTGAGCCACCGGCCAGGGCTAAACAGCATCTTTTAGTAAACAGTTCTTTTAAAAATTTTTTTTTTAACTTTGCCTTTGAAGGAATTTGATCACATTTGAAAATGTTAATTTTAGATAGTAAAATCAGAGGAAGATCAGAGGTTATTTTATTTTCAGTTCTCATTTCTTCATGTTGGAAACAGAAGTTGTTCTGGTACTTTCTATTTTATTTTAAGATAAGGCTGGCATTTGGAATTTGGGTTATCTACTAGATTAAGACCATTTTGTCTTTAAGGATTACTTTGACATTGTGAAGAACCCCATGGACCTTTCCACCATCAAGCGAAAGTTAGACACAGGGCAGTACCAAGAACCCTGGCAGTACGTGGATGATGTCTGGCTGATGTTCAACAATGCCTGGCTCTACAATCGCAAGACGTCTCGGGTCTATAAGTTTTGCAGTAAACTGGCAGAGGTCTTTGAACAAGAAATTGACCCTGTTATGCAGTCCCTTGGATATTGTTGTGGACGCAAGGTACGGTTTAAACTGTTTCTGGCCAATGAACTTTCCCAGTTAGTCCAACAGTATAATGATATGGTAGACTCAACATTTTGGCCACACATGTGTGCTGGGAAGTTACCCACATGGAGTAAAACAATTGATTACTCAGAGCAATATAATGGATGATCAAAGCTAGAGGTGCTTTTGGGGGAAGGCCTTGGGTTAAGCATTTCTGGCTGCCCCTGTGTGCATTCACTATCAATAACAGATGTCTTCTTTTTTATTATTTATTAATTTTAGAGAGACAAAGGGAGAGAGAGGCATTGATTTGTTTTTCCAATGCACTCATTGATTGATTTTTTAAAAATACATTTTATTGATTTTTTTACAGAGAGGAAGGGAGAGAGATAGTTAGAAACATTGATGGGAGAGAAACATCGATCAGCTGCCTCCTGCACACTCCCTACTGGGTATGTGCCTGCAACCAAGGTACATGCCCTTGACCGGAATCGAACCTGGGACCCTTGAGTCCACAGACCAACGCTCTATCCACTGAGCCAAACCGGTTAGGGCGATTTATTTATATATATATATATATTGATTTCAGAGAGAAAGGGGAGGGGGGAGAGAGAAACATCAATGATGAGAGAGAATCATTGATTGGCTGCCTACTGCACGCCCCCTACTGGGGATCAAGCCAGCAACCCAGGCATGTGCCCTTGACTAGAATCGAACCTGGGACCTTTCAATCTGCAGGCTGATGCTGTATCCACTGAGCCAAACCAGCTAGGGCTATAATATATGTCTCTTAAACACTAATTATTTTGCATAGTATCAAAAAATATCTTTAAATAGCTGTGAAAATTGTTAGGAAACTATCCAGTGTACTAACAGAAGTAATTTACTAGTTGAATCTGACCCTCCATAGTTTACTAGAAATTTGCATGACAATAAATAGGTTATATTTTTAGTATTTTCTCCTTTGTTTTTGCAGTATGAGTTTTCCCCACAGACTTTGTGCTGCTATGGGAAGCAACTGTGTACAATTCCTCGAGATGCAGCCTACTACAGCTATCAGAATAGGTAAGCATTGAGCAGCTTCCTGATCTACAGAACAAAGGTCTTAGGGCAAGGCATGTTTGTCTGCTTATAGCTCAGATACATTATCTTTCCTGAAGTTCCAATGAAAGGGGCCACAATTTCAGTATTTCTTGGTCACTCAGATAGATTCACAATCTCTTAATTTTAAGGAATGCTTTTATAGTATAAAAACTTGATCTCACAGTTGCTTGCTGCACTACCTGGATCAGGTACATTCTTTCTTGAGTCATGGTCTAGATCAGTGATGGCAAACCTTTTGAGCTCGGCGTGTCAGCATTTTGAAAATCCCGAACTTAACTCTGGTGCCGTGTCACATATAGAAATTTTTTGATATTTGCAACCATAGTAAAACAAAGATTTATATTTCTGATATTTATTTTACATATTTAAATGCCATTTAACAAAGAAAAATCAACCAAAAAAATGAATTCGCCTGTCACCTCTGACACGCATGTCATAGGTTCGCCATCACTGGTCTAGATTCTACAAAGTAACCATATAAGAAAGAGTCTGGAGTTGAGGATAACTCAAAGATTGACCTGCCTTTTTCAAGATACTAATAAAGTTGAAACATTGTTTTTACTATTCCTGTGTAAATATTTGTCTAGATAATTTGGCCTGGACAGTCTGATGGAAAGACTTGCATTAGTGCTAATTGATTGGAAAAAATAAAACCATAGACTTTTTGTTTTTAATTAGTTGCACAATACAGAATGAGATTTAGTGTTTTTATTGAGTTCAAGAAAAACTTCCCTGTTATAAGATGGCCATTTCAGGTTTTGAAAATTAAGCTATTTGCATTCATTGTTTTAAGTGGCCTCATATTGCTATTGCATGAGGGCATTATGTCTTGAAGCACAGGTTGTAAATCTTGGTCAGATTTAGTTACATTACCTCCATTTTATGACTTGGCAACTAGATTCTTTATGTGACCACAAAGAAACGTCATGCCTAATCTTCATCTTTAGTTTCAAATATTAAATGTCAACATTAGGACTTGTGATGTCTTAATTATTTTGATCTTATTTGCTTAGTAATCACTTATGTTCTAATATTTTGAAGAAGATAAGTAGAGTGGTTTTTGTTATTTGTTTAGGGGTACATGCACAGACTTTGAATAATTTGGAATTTTGGGATTATTTTTCTTCCAATTTATGTTTTTAAATTATTTTAATTTTAAATATATATATAACCATATTCAATATTATTAATGACTTTCATCAGAATTCTACTTTAAAATACTTTTGACCTAAAAATGTTTCCAATAAAGGTTTCTAAGCCTTGCCTAGCTCACTTTTTGGAATTTAATTTCTGTCTTAGCTTGCCCTTCTATCAATAGAAGTATTTTAAGACAAAGTTTGAAATGATACATAGCCCTTTTTTAATGGAATCTCTCCCATACTGACAAGTGTTATGGAAGTTCTGGTCCATCCATTTACAATCTTAGCTTAGTAATCTTCAGCACATCCCATAATGTATATATATCAAGCTTAACCTTCTTGTTTGTGATATGGGCACAGTAACACCTTCCCTGACGGTCTCAGTTATCAGTCTCTAATGAAATAATGACTAGGAATTCACTTTGGAAATTGTTATATGCCAAGCAAAATAAAATCATGAAATTTTAAGAGAATAGGTTAAAATTAACTATATTCTGAAAAACACCCCTGCTGCTAGGTGCCAGTTTGGGTATAGAAGGAAGAAAAGACAACAGATTGCTTGCTACCATCTCTGAAGTTTTGGGACCTTTTCATTATTGGTTTCATTGTGCCTGAGTCCTTTGAAATCCTATCTTTGCTAATTTGCACAGATTTTGGCCATATTTAAGTTGAGAGCAAATAAGTTCATAATTTGATAGCATCAGGGTACACTGCTTACCCACTGAAGGAGGTTATTGATGGAGTGAGTGCAAACAGGACTGTTTTGAAAGTTTTGAAATGTCCAATTGTATTTCTATATAAGTGTAGGTATACTACTTCTCAGCTTAATCTCATAAGATGTTCTTTCTAGAATAATGACCTTGAAGAGGTTAACATGTAATTCTAAGAAAGCAGTGGCCTCATTCTGTGTTGGACATTTTAACTGCTTACATTTTTAGTCTCAACTTTGACTGTGAGCATTGTGCTGTTTTTATGAATTATTGTTTTGACACTTAAAAATTGTTTGGGCACTAAAACAATAGAAAATCCTAGAGACCATTTAAACAAGTGAAACTAATATATAAACTAGAGTGTGGTTACATTTCACCTGTTTCCATACTTTAAAAATTATAAAGAAGCTCATGTTGGGGAAACTGTTCTATAGATTTTCCAATTATTATCTATAGATAAGATAGATATTATCTATAGATATCCCAGTTATTTGTATATATTGATATGGTACTTAAAACAATCTGCATTTGAAAATTTACTCCATACATGTAATTATCCTTACAGATAAACTGTACAGTTACATTGTGCTAATGTTAGGTACCCAGATGTACATCATCATCAGATTATGTGAAGTATTTCTCCTTTATAATTCCATGTTCATCAAACTGCTTCCTTCACACAAGGCAGAATGTCAACTAGGCTGTTACAATGAAAAGTGAATTTCTGAATCGTTTTATATTTCCAGGGTGAATAAAGTTTGGACTAGATAAGATATTTTCACCCACTGATTGCCAGGTGGTTGCATCTGATTTGACTAGATGGGTGCCCATGCTCCCTTCTGTGGGCTGTGGGCATTTCTCAGAGGGTATTAGAGTGAGTCCCTGGGCCCCTCCATCTCTCCTCTAAAACCTCAACAGGTTTGATTCTCCGATATTCCTGTCATTGCTTTGGGACAGGCACTAGCGTGAGTTAATTTTGTCTCTCCCAGTTACTGATCCTTAAAATTTTTCAGGGATGGGAGTTAGTTACTCATAGAGCATAGGTGTCTGCAGCCACTTAGCCATCAGTGATTTGTCTGAGGCCAGTTTCCTTCGTTGGAAAATAATGGGTTTATGATTCTTGTTTCCTGAATGTTGCTGGACTTATGTCCTGCTTGAACAAAAGCTAAGAATTTGTCCAGGGTTTAAAATCATTATGCTCACATGTAATTATTGCGGCAATTTCATTTCAAAATGTGTTCAAAGTTACCTTCTCGCTAGTCCACAAGGGCTGTGTGTTAATCGTAAAATGAATTGGAACACTCAATTTGTAGTTTTATTTTCAAAAGGGAAATATTTTGCATGGAGGGGATATCTTTTTTGCCTATTGTAATGGTTGCCACTGAGTTGGTTTCTAGTTTCTGTACTTTCATTCTTTCCTGCCAAGTGATGATCATGTCCTCCTGCACATAAAAATTCTTTCACTACATGATTTCAAGGCTCCATAGGAATATTAACAAAATAGTGAGTAGCCAGAATATTGTTGAAGTTCATTCAGAAAAAAATATATATATATAATATCCAGGTATGGGCAAAAGTAGGTTAAATGACCAGCCATCGTTACCTAAAAAATAAATCATAGGTGAGGATATGAAATAATAATAAGACAAATAATACAATAATTAATAAATACATATACAATAATAAACATTGTGTTTTGTGTACTTACAACTGTAGACCTACTTTTGCCCACCCCTGTATATATTTTAAAACAGCAATGTTAATCTGTTTCTGGTCAGAGTTTTAATCTTGGCAGAATTCATTAATTGACTTAGTCCTAAATAAACAAGTCCCAGCAAGAAACTTTCATTAATCCAGTTGTTACCCACAGGGAATCTGTCATGTTCCTCATCAACATACTGAAAAATTGTGTAATCTTGGGGTGTGTGCATGCTCTCAAGTTTTATGCCTTTAATTTACTATATGTATTTAGCCAGTGAAACATAGCAGACAAAATGTCAATGTATTTAATTTAGGTTAGAATTAGAACTTGTGGAGGACCTATTTTAGTAATGAAGACAAACTGGCCAGGTGGTGTCTAACTCTCAGTTGTTTGTAGCTGTGTGTGTGTGCGCGCGTGCACGCGCGTGTGAAACTGCAAGCTGCTGCATCTCCTTCTGTACTCTTGGTTCAGTGTGGCACTCCAAGTCTCGTCATAGTGTCTTTAACACTAATCCTCTTGGCATCTTGTAGACATAGTTTTGAGCACTAAAACCGCATTTTATTGTGTTGCTGTTGCTACCCTATGCTCATCCTTTTTGCTTGTATAAGTCACATTCATTCAGCTTGTTGTTTTTTTTATTACGGTATTGTGTGCCCATCTTGTTTTATGCAGCATCAGCCTGCATTTTTGTTGATTTCTCATTCATGTCCTTTCCAAACATTTAATAGTTTTTATTTTAATTATTCTTATTTGATAGCTTGAGCTGAGCTCTGTATTATCTTACAAGAAATTGGGGTTATGGATAATTTCTCAAATGCAGATTGTGCTTTAAAGATTTACTCTCTAAATTTGCTTAACTTGGATTGTCACCAAGTCAGAGCAGTCAATCACTGAGTATCTCAGATTGATGAATGATTGGTCCCAGTACCAAAAAGTTTAAGTCAAAGCTTAGAATTGAATTTTAAAAGTCTTTAACATTGTTTGTGGATTTATATATATTGTATTATTTATACAATATATCACAGTTTTTTCTCTGTATATTCTTATTGATAAATGGCTGGAAAGTCTTTGACCCCTATTGCATTTCTGTTAAATGTTTGTCTAGAAAATGGATTTGGTTTCATTTGTATTATAACCCAATTAAGTGATTAACATGAGAAAAAAGACAGGAAAAAAATTAAAACCAGTTTTGAGTGCTGAACATTTTTATACCTTTAAAGATCTGGCTTAAAAACCAGAAATAAAATCTCTGAATTGCTGTCAAGCATAAATTTTCCATTTTGAAAAAAACAAAAAAGGCATTTTCAGTTTAAATTGCTTTTTCAAGGCCTTTTGTCAGACTGTTTTGTTCAAAGTAAATTTTTTCCATCTCAAACCCTGAAATTGTATTTGATTTTTCTCTAATACAAAATTCAAACTTCTAAATTTTAAGCTCCTTACAATTCTAGTATTAACAACTCCTTGCAAACATTTGCATCTTGGAGCTGAACCAAGCCCAGTCATTGTTAGTGATGATGGCCTGTGATGTGTGCAATGAGACCGAATGCTAATCAATGCTTTGCCTTGGCTTTCTGCTCTGTGTTGTCTTGGTGTTTGCGTCTTACCTCTATGTCTGTGCTATTTGTTCCCTTCCCTGTTCTCTAATCCTGCCCTTCCCAACCTGCCCCTGTTCCTCTCATTGTTCTCACTGACCCATCAATCAACCAACAACGCCCCCCCTTCGTCGTGGTGATCTGCCCTGCTCTGATTGGTGGCTTCGTTGCTTGGGTGGCTGTGTGTTATGATGGACCAGTTCACCCAAGTATGGCCTTCTTGCTGACAGGTATCATTTTTGTGAGAAGTGTTTCACAGAGATCCAGGGGGAGAATGTTACCCTTGGTGACGACCCTTCACAACCCCAGACGTAAGTACTATCCTGTCATTTTTCACGGGAGTGACTCTTAATTGTTTTTGTCTCTTGTCCATGAGTAAAAGGGAAGCACCACTGCTGTTTTGACTTGTGTGTAGTGTATTTTCTCATATTAATTATGCTCACATTCATACTTTAACATGTAGCTGTTTGAGCTGAACACCAGTGACACTTCCATGTTCTTCCCTCCATTCAGTACTGTGGTGTTCACAGCCACACCATGCAGTTCACAGGTCTCTCTCAACCTTGCTCCAGTTCTTCTTTTAAAACACTTGGCTTTTCCTAGTGGCTGTCACCCTCCATTTTTGGAAATTACAAATTTTCAATACACCTAAAGAAACCAAATAACCCTATCCACAGACTGGCAGTAGCAAAAAATGAGTTTCATGTACCTACTTTCATCCTTTAAGTTGTGAAGCTAATATAACACAGATAATGAGCTCCCAGAGTGTAAATGTCTCCTTCTTTGCTGGAGACTTGACTCTTGCTCACTAGGTCCAATTCAGACAGAACTGAGTTGGCCCTTTCATTCCTTCACTGAGTCCACCTTTTGGTCCCAATGCCTATTCTCTGTGGTCAGCTCATTTATATGCTTGAGAAACCTAAAAATCTGCCAGCCACCATGTCTGCCCAGGACTACCAGTGTTCTATGGTTCTCTCTTTTCTCTGGACTCTGCCATGATTCCAACCACGCTGGCTAGTCTTCAAGTGTGATGTCCCCCCCACAGGCAACGGCTTCACACTAACGCAGTTTCCAGCAGTGTAGGACACTTACCCTGCAACTCAAGGCTACTTTATTCAAATGCAAAATAAACCATGGCCACTTATAAATCAAAATGACAGATATTCTACCTATTCAATTTATTTTTCTGTCCCTTGTCATCTTAATCTTTTGGTCCTATTACATGATTAATAATTGGATTGTATAAATATGTGAATCAGAAGTCATTCACATATATACACTTATTGTAACAAAAGGACAGTAGAAACCATATACTCAGCCCTTTACAAGTAAAATATCCCCACGTAGATGCTGACTTTCTGTCATTGAGGGAATATTATAATTAAAAGAATTGGTTATGTCCTGGCCAGGTGGCTCAGTTTGTTGGAGCATTGTCCTGTTCACCAAAAAGGTTACAGGTTTGATTCCCGGTCAGGGCACGTAGGGGAGGCAACATATAGATGTTTCTCTCTCATATCGATGTTTCTCTTTCTCTCTCTCTCTCTCTCTCTCTCTCTCTCTCTCTCTCCTTCTCCCCCTCCCTCTTCTCTAAAAATCAGTTTAAAACAAGAATTGGTTACACCAATATCAGTTAAATTTAGTAGCCAGTCACTATATAGATTTGATGGAAAATTAAAAAGTTTGAAACAAAATTTTGCCATGATATTTTGACTAGTCTTAGTTAAATCTTGTAATTAGTGCTGATGCTAGTTAGGAGGAAATGTTCTGAGAAAAACAGAGAAAATTAAATGGTGGTGCTTTCTGTAGAATTGAGGTTTTTTTTGTTTTTGTTGTTTTTTTTTTAAATATATTCTATTGATTTTTTTACAGAGAGGAAGGGAGAGAGATAGAGAGTCAGAAACATCAATGAGAGAGAAACATCGATCAGTTGCCTCCTGCACACCCCCCACTGGGGATGTGCCCGCAACCAAGGTACATGCCCTTGACCGGAATCGAACCTGGGACCTTTCAGTCCGCAGGCCGACGCTCTGTCCACTGAGCCAAACCGGTTAGGGCTGTAGAATTGAGTTTTATATGTTCATGCCATCATTGCATCTACTTGAGATTTTAGCTATTATTTTCCGTTTGAAGAACTAGTTGCAAAATAATATTCCAGAAACTATAGTTTATACTCAACAGATCAATTAAGTTAATTAACTTCTGTTTTCATTTTTTTTAAACAAGGACAATTTCAAAGGATCAGTTTGAAAAGAAGAAAAATGATACCTTAGATCCTGAACCGTGAGTATATAGCTCTTTCTTTCTTTTAGATTTTAGTTTCAGGTCAAGAACAGTTCCTCCTTATGATTGAGTTGTGGGAGAAGACATTGGAAATGCATTGCTCTGGGTGGAATTTTTTTTTTAAATTTCTTTATTGGTTAAGGTATTACATATGTGCCCTTATCTGGGTGGAATTTTATTGTGTGAAGTTATTTCATATATGAATCCTTCTTTAACTCACACTAAATATGTATGTCTCTGTAACATGCTCTTTAGGTACTGAATTTTAACAAATTCCAAATTTCAAAATCCAAATTTATGTGGATGTTTGTTCTATTAGAACCTCTCTAATAAGTTGGTCATTGGTGTTTTTAAGAAGCCATTTAGTGTGAATCTTTAGAAAACAAAGGTAGGACTATTTGGTAGAGTAGTGCTAGTATCATTTAAAGGGAAATTTTAGAAAGAAAACCTCTTAGAAACCACTTTCTAAAAATAATAAATGGGAAGCCTGGTGTATATTCTTGCCACTGTCTTTGGTATGGTATATTTTCAAAGGCCATTGTCAAATATTTGACTTTCCTCCAGTGCTCAGTAAGAATGCTGTGTTTGCAAAATTTGCTCTGTGATGGCCCCTAAAGAGGCTTCAGAACTCCTTCAGTGTGACGACCCCTTCAGGTCCCCAAAGCCGAGTCCTAAGACCACCCCAGCGTGTGGAGAGGCCCATTGTGTTCTACCGCTGTGCCGAATGCACTTTCAGAGCTGCTTAGAGAGCACAGGCTCCAGCGCCGTTCAGTGTTTGGTAAATGTGGCTGTAGTGCATCCAGAACTGAGAAGCAGGTCCTCCCCTCTCTTGGCTCAAACCCCTAGCTTTAGTGAGGCCTATTGCTGCAGTGGAAGAGACGGACTTTCCACCCAGACCTCATATTGAAACCTAACTTTACGTTGAGAGCTTACTCAATCTCTCCTACTAGTAGTGCCCAGGCTGGGTACACGTTGAATACAAGAACTCCAGCCTGCGCATAGTGCCTGGTGCATGAGGAAGTGCCTCCCCAGATCATTAATGACCAGTCGATTATTTGTCTTAATTGTCCAGCTCCCTGTTCACATTATGCCCTCCCCTTCAGTTTTTTAGTTTCACTATGATTTATATTCATTTTTTTTTATTTGTTTTTTTATTGTTTTGTTTTTTTTCTTCTTAATTCACTTTTCATTTTTAACTTCAAAATACATTACATTGGAATAGTTATTACTAGGCGGGGGCTCTGTCCGTCAGTACAAGAGACAGGTGGATCATAGCACAGATAGCAGGAGGTAGTAAGGTGGTCCAAAGGTGAGAGGCCCTGTTCCTGGGCATGATGGCATTCCAGCGAAGGTGACACTCATCTGGAATCAGGTGTTGAGAAATGGGAAGAATATTCTATACACAAAGGAGTAAAAGAACATAGGATGTTCAGCAACAACATAGGTAAGCTCAAGTGGTTGGTAGGTAGAGCATGTGGATGGAGCCCCGTGAGATGTGAAGGAGAGGCACTAGGTGCAGGGCCCCTTACACAGTTCTTTGTCCTGTAGGTTTCCTCCTGGATGTGCTAAGGAGGTGTGGAGGGACATCATTGGCTTCTGTTACAGAAAGATCATGCTGGATTTGTGAGATAGATTCAGTGGAGAGGAAGACTTTTGCTCCCTAGTAGGGGAACTAGTTAGGAGACTCAGAGGAGCAGCTTAGGCAGGAGTTGGAAGGCCGACCTGAACAGCCTTCTGGTGGAAGAGACCACACTGCAGGGTGAGGAAAGGTCCAGTCTAAGTGGTGGCTTAGGTAACTGCATGAATAAAAATGTAGGAAGGGGAGTAAACCAGTTGGTTAATAATAGTTAGAAGGGGAGAGAGATTGAAATTCAAAATTGATAAAATGGGGTCTAGAACAAATATCCTATTTTTTTTTACATTCCTCTTCCCTGACATAGGAGGGGGAAGGGTTGAGAATAGGGTGTCTTTGGAGCAGGCACAGAAACTGAGGGAGTTGTTACCTGCTGACCTTTTAAATTCTTAACCCAGGGATGAGCTCAACTGCTGAAATTTCAGCGAAGGAACTTGTTGACCGTGATGCGGCACTTGAGGAGGGAGTGAAGGTTCAGAACAACACCAGATAGAATGGGGGGAGCAACACAGCATGGGATTGCCATTGAATGGTGCTGCGGTTTTGCGCAGTTTTGCATTTGTCTTTTCCTCCAGTAGAGCAGGAACGAGAAGCTGGGTAAGGCTTGATTTGTGGTTGAAGCCTTGCTCAGCAAGGACAGTGGGAAGATCAGGGACTTGATCATGTATCAGGTCATAGGGCTCAGCATCAGACTGATTGGAAGAGCCTGAACCCACTTTCTTGCCATTTAAGACTTCCACCAGCTGTAAGTTGTGATGATGCTAAGGGGGTGGCTAAAATATAGGTTTTGACCTTCAAGTATGTTGCAGTTAAGATTTCCAGGTGAGCTTGGGCGGGGTCTGCAGTAGAGGGCAGGTGGCTCAGTGCGTCCCCTTGCTCTCCAGTGTTTACTTGAATAAGGACTGTCATTTACTAGTCAGTTTGGAACTTCCCACCTTTGTGACTATCTCAGAACAGACACTTCCTGTGCCTGGGCCTAAGAATAAATGTTTATAATATTGAAAGTATTGTTCTCTATTACTTAAGTCAGTTTAGGCATGTGCACTTACCTAGAGCAAGTGTTGGTCTTCAAAATGTATAGTACTGTCAGAAATACTGGCCCATAAAATGTGCCTTTATCATAGCACTTTTTAAAAGTAAAGGTTCATTCCTAGTTGCAAAGGAGATTGGGAGAAGAGAGGAATGAGGCATTTGTACAAAGAAGGGTTCGAACTTTTCCCACAGAAAATATACTGGTGCATTTTTAAAATATGGCTGAATCAATCAACAGATGTATTAGTACTAGATGCTCAAAGTAATCAAGAGGACAAGAGAACATAGTACACAAGCTCCTAAAGACCTCTCTATTTTGTGGTTCCCTGTGTATTCATTGTGCTTTCTTTGTCTTCCAGTTTTGTTGATTGCAAGGAGTGTGGCCGGAAAATGCATCAAATTTGTGTTTTACACTATGATATCATTTGGCCGTCAGGGTGAGTAATTTCCTGTGATCTTGGGAAAAGGAAAGCAGTTTTGCACAGAGTGGAGGGGAGGGTCCCTGATGCTGCTGCTGCTGTATTTCATTCATTGTTGTCAGCAAGAATTCAGCAATTACGATAGATGGCAGTTGATTCTAAGTTTTAAGTCTTAAGTGTTTGCCTGCTTTAGGAATTATAGAATCAAAGCAGTCTGCCTCTTCACTTCTGTATAATGATTCGATTTAAACAGCCAACAACGTATTTTAATGCTGCATTTCACTAGTTTGGCAACATACACTGTTTTGTATAATCTAATCACACCCATTATGTTTTTGCAGATTTGTATGTGACAACTGCTTGAAGAAAACTGGCAGAACTCGAAAAGAAAACAAATTCAGTGCTAAGAGTAAGTTTTGGAAAGATTTCTTTTTCCTGATCTGTACATTGTAAAAACTTGTATAATTACCCCAGTTTTTCTTTGGTTCCTCTTAACACGTGGCTTTGTAGATGACCTGTCCAACATTTTTTTATCTGTGAGTTTGTTTTCTAATACTTTTTATTTTTCTTATCTTCCCCTTAAAGAACCATTTGACCTGATCATATCAAAGTCAGCTTTTTGCTCAATCCATGTTTTAGATGCAAGTTTAGAAAGCTTAGCTACATTGTAAACTTTGTGAATTCTAAAGAGAAAATTTGTCAGCAGATCCTTCTTAAGTTGCTTAAAAATAAGACCTCCCCCAAAACACACACACATACACAGTTCTGTCTGAGCCACACACTCAACCTTGGGCCCAAGTATGGGCAGTCACTTGCCCATCACTAGGTGTGGACCGTGCTGTTGTGAGGAGTGACCCTCTCAAGTTCCCTGGGAATCGGCCGTCATCCACCCAAGACTGGTAGGCACCTGGTCTGCACAGACTTGGGAATGTTGCTGCATTTAGAGTGGCTGCTGGTATCTCTTTATGATATCAGTCTGTTGCTACTAAAAGTAACTTTTCATAGATCTGATTTTTTTTATAGATATCATTCTTTTCAAAAGTGTACAATACGTAACCTTTGTCCACTTGATTCTCAAGTACTGAGGACACCTTCCACAGCATGGCATTCCCAGGCTGTCCTTTTGCTGAGTTAATAGAGAACCTGAATAGGAAAGCCACCTACAGTGGAGCCTTGAAGTGCACCTTCCCAGTACTCCCTGCAGCAGGATAGGTGACTAGCACACAGCTCAGAGTGTCTCCAACAAGAGCCAGGTCATCTGAGGTGCTGGGAATAGAAGAGAGATGGGATGGAGGGAGAGGTCACATGCTGGGGGAAGGAGGGGATGTGAAGCAGACAAAAAGGAAGTCATTCCATAGGCTTCCAAGTCGTCAATTCAAGTTCAAACTCTGTAGTTAATAAAATCCATAGTTATCTTATAACTTAAACTCACTTTTATAAAATGTTTTGAGATACTTAGAAACTCACTGGCTACTGTAATTTTTTTTAATTTTTATTGTTGAAAGTATTACATATGTCCTCTTTTTTCTCCCATTGACCTCTTATTGGCTACTGTAATATTTATCTTTAGATTAGGATTTCTCCGCTGAGCCGCTATTGACATTCAGGACCAGATCATTGTTATGATGGCTGTCCTGTGCTTTGTAGGATTTTAGCAGCATCCCTGGCTGCAGCCTACTAAATATCAATAACCCTCATCCTCATGAGTGGTGAACATCAGAAATGTCTCCAGACCTTGCCAGATGTGCCTTGGGGGAAAGTAGTTGCCTCTACCTTAGAGGGTCCATTCTGAGTGAAATCACTAAAGCAGTCAGCAACTTAGAAACACTTGCTTAGGCCAGAGCTTCAGTGACCAAACTAAACTGCCAAGAGAGCTAGACCTCACTAGAAGAGCAACTTCAGCTGGAAGGCACAAGGGTGAGGTGTACGGGGTCACAGCTCACCCCATGTCCAGAGAATGGGAGAGAAAGACATGTGGACCTTAGGTAGATGAGCTTTAGTGTTTAAGATATAGAACATTTGCTTACAGAAAAGGATCTTAGAAGTCTAGTGTCACCCTTGTGTTCCGAGTTTTTGTAGATCAAAAAGGAAAGTTTGCCTCGTTCATATTTGCACTGAGTGAATATTAAAAATGTCTTTCAACTGGTAGTCAGTGAATGATAGTCACAATTGACCATCCATCCAGAGCCACCTCCCTACCTTATACCACACACACGATTCCATTTCAGATGGTTAAAGGAGAAAAGGAAACAACTGCAAGTGAACTCAAGGTCACAGTAAGAGTATTTTTACTGTGTTGGGCTATAAAAAACCTTCCTAAAAAATAAACCCAGAGTGAGAAAGCAATAAGCTCTGAAGGATTTGATCACATAAAGAGAAAAGCACCCCCCCCCCCCCAAGAATGGGAGAAAGGCCTACTGCATAAACACTGGAAGACCTGAAATACACCTCCATGTGTGCATCACATGGATGAGAATCACCCTGCTTTCACTCTGGTGATTTGAAGAAAAAAGTAAAGACCTAATTTTAAAGGTCCTTTGGTTTGCTATTTGAAAATCATAGTGTGTGGGTCGTATTTTCAGAAGGTAAGGGGATTCCCTCACTATAGTGGCCCTTCTTAGTTGTGTCCTCCCTTCTGGATTGGAAACGCTTCATGAGGGAACAAAACGTACTCAGCAGCGGCATGGAGGGGCAATGGGAGAACATGGGCAAGAATGTGAGCCTTTTCTTCAGGGGCTTCACGAAGAACAGACAAGATGGCCTGTGCCGTACAGCTAATGCTGCATTTCTCAGGATAGCTGTCTCAGGTGTGGGGTGTGCTGCATTGTGAGGGGTCCAGAGTGTGACCACACAGTTGTGTACAGGGTACATCTTCATCAGCATGTGCAATAGATCACAGATGCACTCCCCTGCATTTCTATAGCTTTTCAAGTTTTTATTTTCCTGTGTGTTTTTTATTTTATTGCCATTGTGTTTTTCTTTTTAAATCATTTTTCTTGAGGCATAACTTATATATCAAAAGAACTCCACCATTGGTATTTTATCACAGAAAAATGGGATTAAGAAAGTTAGTCTAAATTTTCCATATATTTCTTGACCTCAGTAAGGAATCTTCTAAAATCCCAAATACCTTTTTAAAAACATTTCTTATTGTTGTAAATATTTTTGAAATCAATAAGTATAAAGTAGAAAACTTTAAAATCCCATTATATATAAATAATTATTGTGAACCTTGTACAGCTCTTGCTGCTAGTCTTATTTTTTCTCACGTGCAAGGAGTTTTTTATGCTATGACTGATGTGTTGCCTTTGGGTAGCTTGCTGTATATGCCCTGTCACAGTGGTCATGCTTGGGTGGTCCCTTGAAGAGAGGATTGTGGAGGGGAAGAGGAACCTACCCAGGAACGGAGCTGGGGTAGGCCTGGATATGAGACAGTGTCCGTGCACTTGCCATAATAGGAACACTCACAGAGCTTAGTTGGCCATGGCATGTACTGTGCACTCTGTCTTAACTCTGCAGTGAGGACTCTCCTCAAAGCTGGGCAGGAAGGGGAGAGTGGGTCAAGGAACACATGCGCAGCAGTCCTGACCTCCTCCAGGGAAAGCAGTGGCAGGCTCCCTGCTTCTGTAGAGTTCTAGCCTTGGGGCTCAGCTGTGACTCTGAGCAGCTACGTGGGAGCACCCAGGGCCAGATCTCCGCCTCACCAGGCCCAGGGGGAGGGAGCAGAAGGCTGGTGGGCACAGCATGGTCCTCCTTATGCCTGCTCCCCCACTTTACTCCATAGCCCATCTTCTTTCAGATTCAGGTCCACCTTCATGGCTCCTCTGCCCTTATGGTTCAAAAAAGATGAAAATATCAGGGCACTTGATGGCAATTTTGAAGATGTAGAGTGCCTGAGATTCTAGAGTACCCCTTTCCCTCATAAAATGCTTACTTCATAGGATAAACTAGGTCCCTTCTGGTTTTAGAGAATGTTAATTCTTTCTTTTTTTTTAATCCTCATCCAAGGATATGTTTTTATTAATTTTGAGAGAGACAGAAAGACATCAGTGGGAGAGAGAAAAATTGATCGTTTGCCTCTCCTACACACCCCAACCGGGCATCGAACCCGCAAAGTTTTGGTATATGGGACGACACCCCAACCAACTAAGCCAGCTGGCCAGGGCAGAACAGTTAATTCTTTTAAAATATGTCAGATTCCCATAGCCGGTTTGGCTTGGTGGATAGAGCGTCGGCCTGCGGACCAAAGGGTCCTGGGTTCAATTCTGGTCAATGGCACATACATTGGTTGCAGGCTCCTCCCGGGCCCTAGTCGGGGGGTGTGCAGGATATAACCAATCAATGTGTCCCTCTCTCATTGATGTTTCTCTCTCCCACTCTCTCTAGAAAAAAGATCAAGAGAAAAATATCCTTGGGTGAGGATTAACCAAAAAAACAACACACACACACACACACACACAAAACACAAATAAAATATGTCAGATTACCCTGAAAGGAAAAGGAGGAATCTGTGGTCTCGGTTGCCTTCTCCATAGTCCTTCCAAAGCTCTCTCACCTGCTCCTTCTAAACTTTCCAGGACTGCAAACCACGCGATTGGGAAACCACTTGGAAGACCGAGTCAACAAGTTTTTGCGGCGACAGAATCATCCTGAAGCCGGGGAGGTCTTTGTTCGAGTGGTGGCCAGCTCAGATAAGACTGTGGAGGTCAAGCCTGGGATGAAGTCACGGTTTGTGTGCAGACATTGTGCTATTTTCTAAAACAGCACTGTTCTAGTGCTTACCCCACCTGGTTAACAAAAGCCCCACTTTCTGATAGGCTTTTTGCATAACTTAAAAGATTTTCAGTGGTTAGTGTGTTGCAAGCCCTTCTTTCTATCCCAAATTCATTAGAGAAGGTAAAATTCCCAATCAAGTGAAACAGTGTCACAAAGAATGGGATCAAAGCTCCAAGCTGCTCACACTAGTGGTAAGAGCTCTGGGCTGGTAGTCAGAAGTGACAGGCCTTTATCTCCTCTACCCTGAGCGGGTTTAGAGCAGCAGATCTAGGTTATAAAGCACCTTATGAACAATGATGCATGCAAACATCAGATTCTGACTTTTATTTCAGGTTTGTGGACTCTGGGGAAATGTCTGAATCTTTCCCGTATCGAACCAAAGCTCTCTTTGCTTTTGAGGAAATTGATGGAGTGGATGTATGCTTCTTTGGAATGCATGTCCAAGAATATGGCTCTGATTGCCCCCCTCCAAACACAAGGTAGTCCTCTATCTCCTTTCAAGGGGTGTCATGCTGTCTTATAATGAGGTTCTATGTGTCTTATAGAACCTGTGTGCTTTAGAGCCGGGTTAAAATTAAATAATCCACTATTGATTAACCAAATTACATTTATGTTTCCTCTAAGCCAGTGGGGAGTGAAGGGTTTCTATGACTATTTCAAGCCTGTTTTGTGTTTTGAGTACTCATGGGTCCTGGTCCTGGTCTTGCTGTTGTCCCTGTCTTACCTGGGGCAGGTAGAGCCACAGAGAATGGGGTGGGGACCACTCCATGAGCCTGGACATTCTCTGATGCACCTAAAAAAAAAAAATGAAGTACTTCTATGAAGAGTTCTTTCGTGTTCATTCTAGAATCTGGGTGAGAGGGAATTTAAAAATGTCTTTTCGTAGTTTGCCCTGATCTATCCATGGTTCTCTGTGGTAAGTGATGAGATGCCATTGCTTCTCCCTTTGGTGATGAAATTGGATTCCATTTTATTGATTGGCAGCGGCAGTTGGCAATGGGAGTTTTCTTATGTTTTTATATCTTTTTGTGGTCAGTGTAAATGCTGTTGAATAAAATTTATTTCAGGATGCCCTGAGCTGTTGATTAATTCTCTCTCCCACCCCCAGGCGTGTGTACATATCTTATCTGGACAGTATTCATTTCTTCCGACCCCGATGCCTGCGGACAGCTGTTTACCATGAGATCCTTATTGGATATTTAGAATATGTGAAGAAATTGGGGTGAGTTTCGTTCAGATTATCCAGAACTAATTAAAGCTCCATTTTTAATTTTCACTATATATTTATTTTGTGAAATAATGAGAATGTTTAAGTTTGATGTGTTTTTATTTTAACGTCCTTAGCTGGATTCTGAAGCCTCCAGAGCTTCTCTCATGTTCTTGGGGCTTCTCAGGACAATGCATGCACTTTTTCTGCCTTCTGCATTCTTTTCATTATTTTTCCATTCTGGTGTCTTTTTTTAAAAAAAATTTATTGAAGCATATGTTATATATTATAAAATTCGCCTATTTCAGGTGTACACTTCACTGACTTTTAGTAACTTTATGGAGTGGTGTAGCCATCACCCTTAATCATTCTCAGAACATTGTCATCTCCCAGTAAGATCCCTGTGCCCATTTGCTCTTAATCCTTGTCCCACCCCTACCCCCAGTGACCACTAATCTGCTTTCTGTCCCCATAAATTTGCTTTTTCTCAATGTTTTGTAGGAATGGGAACCTACAAGATGTGGTCTCTTGCCTCTGAATTCTTTATATCTGTTGTCATGTTCTAGATCTGTCATATTCCTTTCCCAAATTTGAAAAAGTTGGAGATCTTTGATTGAGGTGTCTTAAACAGAATGAGTAAGATTTATTTTAACTTTAACCCTTAGAAATATCCAACTGCCTTTCCTATGTGCAGAAGAAAGTAGGTGAAATTCAGTGTGTCCATGGGTAAAAGCCATTTGATAAACCTAATGAGTCTCTGTCTTCCCAGGCTTTCTCCTGTGCTCACAGGTTCCCTTACAGCCTAGGCCCCTGCCCGACCTGCACAACCTGAGAAGGAAGCATCTTAGGGCTGAATTCCAGGCGTGCATTTGCACACTAGAGATGTTTGGCCTTACCCACGCATCCCCAACTCCCATCACACTGGTTTGGAATCTCTCTAAATGTCTTATCCATTCTGCCACAAGCATTGTGGCCATTTCTTTGCTTTCCTTTTTCTTTATATATAGTTATTTCTGTCCTTGCTTTGGTCCCTCTTCCTCAACTGTTACTCCTTGAAAGCAGGGATAGTTTTGCTCAGCACTTTATCTGAATTATGTGTGTGTATCCTGCAGGTATGTGACAGGACATATCTGGGCCTGTCCCCCAAGTGAAGGAGATGACTACATCTTCCATTGCCACCCCCCTGATCAAAAAATCCCAAAACCGAAGCGCCTACAGGAGTGGTACAAAAAGATGCTGGACAAGGCTTTTGCAGAGCGGATCATCCATGACTACAAGGTACCTGGTGCTTACTGAAGGAGGGCATGCAGTGGCTTTGTTATACCTTCAGGTGTCTTTCTCTCACACTCACATGTTAGAATTGTATTCACTTAACGAGGATCAGAAAGCCAAAGGAAAAAAAGTGAAATAAAAATGTAAAAGCATCTTATCTGCAGTCTATCAAGATTTCTAGTTGGCAGTCTGAAAGCAGTGCTGTCCTGTCGTCCGTTTAAATTGGCTGATCTTGGCCATTGTGCACCATGGGAATATGCTGCACCGGGATCCTCTTCTGTGTTGTGGCTGCTCTGCCCCTTCCTCAGGAGCTTTGCCTGGGCCCCTTATCCCACTGCTGTGCTTTGTTTACTCTCAGGACATTTTCAAACAAGCAACTGAAGACAGGCTCACCAGTGCCAAGGAATTGCCCTATTTTGAGGGTGACTTCTGGCCCAACGTGTTGGAGGAGAGCATTAAGGAGCTGGAACAAGAAGAAGAAGAGAGGAAGAAGGAAGAGAGCACTGCAGCCAGCGAGACTACAGAGGTAAAGCCCCTACGTCCCACTACCCCACCCTCCTGGAAAGCTGGTGCCCCAGATGTGTACGCTGAAGGACGAATTCTGGCAGGTTGGAAAGTGAACTTATGCTGTTGCGTTCATAGGGTGTGGCCTTCTTTTTGTGTGTGGTGGTATTTTCCTGCATAACCTCACCTTGTCACTATGCACAATATGTCTGGGGCTTGGAAACACAAACCACACTGGTTGCTGGGCGAGCTGAGATGTGGGCACTAGAGACACATCAGGGGACAGGAGGTGCTTACTCCAGCATCTCTGGGCATAACAGAGAGGGCCAAGGCACAGAAAGATGAGAGGTGGGTGCCCTGCCAGGGAGCCCAGAACAGATGGAGACAGAAACAGGTGTGTCATGAATGTGTCACAGCCAGGGACCAATCAATTGATTTAAAAGAGTATTTTACAAACTAAACACACACACCTGCAGCTCTTTCTGTGGTGTCCGCACTTGCACTCACGCTGTGTGCAGTCATGAGCCTGAGCAGTGCACTGAGAACTAAGGAAAAGACCATCCCTGCCCTCAAGGGATATATGTTCTAGTAGGAGAAACAAGAAAAACACATGCCCAGCACACTCGGAGATAGTGGTGCAAGCTGTGGAGAAAAGGAAGCACAGGGAATAGGAGGGAATGGGGGGAGGGGCTTGTCTGGGCAGAGGCATCTGAGCAGAGATTGACCTGGTGAGAAGGAACCCAGAGGGTCCCTGAGAGATGAAGCTTCCAGCAGGAGGAGGAGAAACTTTAGGCGTCCGAGTTGTGAGCAAGTGTGCCATGCTTTGGGGTGTCCAGTAAAACTTGGTGTTTTGGCTCGTAGCTGTAGAGGCTGTGGGAAATATGCTGTGTATCTTAACAGTAGCAGCCCCAGAGTTTGGGGTGGATCTTTGTGGCATGTGAGGAAAATCCTGGGTTAGGGTTGCCCGTTGTGTCTGTTGCTGCCTCTACCTGAGGGAAGAGGAAGAGGGAGAGCATATTTGGGGGAAGAAGTCAAGAATTGGCTGCAGACATGTTAATGTTGCAATGCCTATAAATATCCAAGAGGAGCCCTGGCCAGTTGCTCAGTGGTTAGAGCTTCGGCCCTAGGACTAAAGGGTCATGGGCTTGATTCCCAGTCAAGGACATGTACCTCGTTGCCTGCCTCTGGCCTACTGTTGGTGGGGCTTTCTGGGAGATAGAAATAGATAAAGGCTGATGCCTGAGCCAGCCATTGCTAACCATGGATTTGCATGTGGTGGAGATAGCAGGACATGGAGGTGAGGGATGGAGGCACCATTCTGGGTTTCCAGTTCACATAACTAAGGGTTGGCTTAGTTACGGACAGCACTTGTGATGGAATGATGCTTTGCCATTAAAAGTGGTCTTAATAGGAGACATGGAAAGGTGCTTGCCATAGTGGAGAAGCACCAGGAACAACCTCAACTTGTGTATGACCCCCAACTTTGTAAAGAAAAATATACAAAGTAAATGTGCATAGCAGCTATTGCTTTGGTGGCAAAAAAAAAATACATATTTTTGTTATTTGGCTATGTTTTATAAACTGTAAAGTAAATCTATATATTTTATAACTTTTGAAATAAAGGCTTTAGCCCGGCTGGTGTAACTCAGTGGCTGGGCATCGACCTATGAACCAGGAGGTTGTGGTTCTATTCCTGGTCAGGGCACATGCTCGGGTTGTGGGCTCAGTCCCCAGTTGGGGGCGTGCAGGAGGCAGCCAATCAATGATTCTCTCTCATCATTGATGTTTCTCTCTCCCCCTCTCCCTTCCTCTCTCTAAAATCAATAAAAAGATTTTTTTAAAATAATAAAATAAAATATAGGCTTTATATTTTAGAATAAAGGCTTAGAGAAAACTTGAGCAGATGATACAGAGTTACTTGTATTCTAGTACCTGGCATCTTGAATCCGTGTGCTGCATTTGTTACAATTGCGAAACCAATATTGATACATCATTGTTAACCAGAGTCCAAAGTTCATTCAATGTCCTTAGTTTTTATCAGTGACCTTTTCTGATCTGGGTCCACGTTACTTCCAGTTGTCAGGACTTCTTAGTCCCCTCCTGGCTCTTTCTCAGAGTTGGTGGTGGTGGAGGAGGTAGGGTGCAACTGCACTTCCCCTAAAGCAGTGGTTCTCAACCTGTGGGTCGCGACCCCTTTGGCAGTCGAACGACCCTTTCACAGGGGTCACCTAAGACCATCCTGCATATCAGATATTTACATTACGACTCATAACAGTAGCAACATTACAGTTATGAAGTAGCAACGAAAATAATTTTATGGTTGGGTCACAACATGAGGAACTGTATTTAAAGGGCCAGAAGGTTGAGAACCACTGCCCTAAAGTGTCACTCCTTTCAGCACCAGTGTATGTGTGTGTTTATCTCTCTCCCCACCCTTCTTGCCTTCTCTCCCTACCTCTTCCTCTCTCTCCCCTAGTTATAAACTAAGTTCTTTGGACCAGACCAAATGAGCGTTCTCACCTTGAAACCTGAATGACTAAGCCTGAGTTTTTCCCGGAGTAGGAGCATTTTAACTGAGCAGCAAAAACGCTTAGACTTAAGCCAGTTGCAGCACTAATGGTGTGTTTCAGGCCTGAGTGGGCCTGGGGAATGGGAGCAGGGTCAGGAAGATGTCCTGTAGCCTTGCTTGGGACCTCCTCCTATCTGTGCAGCGGCTTCATTAGCACCTTTCCCATTTCTCTCACTTGTGGATATTTGGAGTCTTTCAAAAGCAAAGAATAAGCCGCTGAGCATGCAGGATATGCCATGGAACTGCAGGTGTCCAGTGGGATGACGTGAAACAATGTAAAATTGCTTCCTCTTCTCTGTTGCTAGATTCCAAATTAGCATCCCAGGTGTGTTCTTCCCTCAAGAGGTAACGTGTCCTGTGGCCTTCATGACACAGGCCACACTTGCTCTCTGTTGATGTATCACCACTGTGCCCATTGGGGTCTTAGCTGAATATACAGGCCCTGCTTCCATCCTCATCACTTTTCCCGCTGCAGTTTCCTGTGAAGGCAGCAGTGTGTTTACACAGCCCATATAGGTAGAGATCTGCAAAGGGTGCTTCCTGGAGTGACAGTCCTTTCAGCACCCAGAGTGAGTATGTGTGCTGACTTGTCCAGATGAGATGATCACAGGCACTTGTTATTTTATTTCCTGTGTTCCATTAACCCTGGTTCTGTGTTGAGCACATCCACAATCCAGGGCCTGGAGCTGGGAGTCCCAGCTAGATACTGGACCTGGAGGAGGAAGCTGGGCTTGTCTGACAAGTTTGTGTTGTTGCAGGGCAGCCAGGGTGACAGCAAGAATGCCAAGAAAAAGAACAACAAGAAAACCAACAAGAATAAAAGCAGTATCAGCCGGGCCAACAAGAAGAAACCCAGTATGCCCAACGTGTCCAACGACTTGTCCCAGAAGCTCTACGCTACCATGGAGAAACACAAAGAGGTGAGACACAGGGAAGGCCACAGAATCCAGGATTTGTGCCCCCCTGGACCAGGATAAAGGAGGGGGGTTGCTGAAGAAGCCACAACCCTGCCCCTGGCCAAGAGAAGGGAAAAGGCATGGTGACACTCTGTTTGGTGCACACAGTGGGAGGACCAGCCCCTAAAAGGCAGACCTGGCTGGTTGGATAACACCACACAATACATCGTCAAGTCAGTTCATCCCCAGGGAGTTGGGCCTTTGACACACCCCTGGGACAGCAGGTGTCAGGCTCAGCGCAGTCTCAGTTCTGCAAGCTGGGCCAGCCCTCCTCAGCACGCTCTCTGTGGGCTGACATACTCCTGCTGTTCTTCCTGCAGGTCTTCTTTGTGATCCACCTCCATGCTGGGCCTGTCATCAATACGCTGCCCCCTATTGTTGACCCCGACCCCCTGCTCAGCTGCGACCTCATGGATGGGCGCGACGCCTTCCTCACCCTCGCCAGGGACAAGCACTGGGAATTCTCCTCTCTGAGGCGGTCCAAGTGGTCCACGCTGTGCATGCTGGTGGAGTTGCACACCCAGGGCCAGGACCGCTTTGTCTACACCTGCAATGAGTGCAAGCACCATGTGGAGACACGCTGGCATTGTACCGTGTGCGAGGTAGGCCCATATCTCCCTCCCTGTGCCTCGCTCTGACAGAACTGGCAGTGCTGGTGTGGTCCACGAGTCTGAGGTCCCCTTGGCTGCTCCCAGCCCTCTGTGGTCTATGCATTTGCATTTTAGGTTGAACTGTTAGACAGTTGGCACTTCTCAGGGGAGAAAAATGACCACTTTTCCTCTAAGGGCACTGTTGATTATGAGATAGATTGTTTGTTTTATTTTAGTTCACACATAAGAAGCTCTAACTCTTATTGATTGGGTTCCTGCTATGTGACTGCACTAGGTTCAACACCAGACATTCAAGATAAAAAGCCTCTCTCCCTTCGTGGAGCATGGTCTGGTCCTGAACAAACTGAGCATGACAGTGACAGGATCCCCTTGGCAGGACAAGCGAGTCTTCCTGGGAGTCAGCAAGCACTGACCTGTCTAGATGAGGAGACGACCACAGGCACTTGTTATTCCCTGTGTTTCATTAATCCCGGCTCTGTATCGGGCACATCCACAGTCCTCGTGGTGCCAGAGCAGGAGCATGGAGAGAGCAGGAGAGGCGTTGGCAGTGCTTTGATCCTTCCAGAACTCTGGTAACCCTCCTCCCTTGTCTTGGTTGGACCCCATGGCCATACCACACTGTCTTCCCCCTGCAGAGGTCTTGTCCCCTGTGCGCAGGGGCGGGTCTTTCTCTTGCATAGATGGGTCCCTCACATGGGGTGAGCCAGGCTATTTTGAGCCCTCCATCTCGCCCCCTGCAGACAATCATAGACTCCTCCCAGTCCAATGTCGGCCTCCAGGATGATCTCCACAGTCTTGGGCCCTACAGAAGTGGCTCTGTGATCTCTGAGGAGGAGAGCAGAGCCTTTGTAATGCCCTCATCTTTACTTACTGCTTTTTCCAACCTCCTTTTGTTCTCCCTCTCATTTCCTACTGCTGGGATTTTCACATCTTTACTATGAAAAGGTTATTAGTCCTGGCCATCGGCTCCATTCTCTGCTCTAGCACCTGTTGTCTGTCTCTAGACGTAGGTGGCTTTTAGAAATCTGGGGAGAGGGCCTTTCTCCCGGCGAAGGCCTCTTAGCTCCAGTGCCCTCCTGGACCGCCCTGCAGAGCTCTGGGGGTGCACTGAGGGCACCCAATCTCTAGGAACTCAGGTCTGTGGTACTTCAGATGCTCATGTGGCAGGCACTTGGGAGCAAATGGGTATAGCAACAGTCACTCCCCAGGCCAGGCATGGGGCGGGATGGCTGGGTGTGATTCCCAGGGTGCAGAGGAAGGAAGGAAAGGGGAACCAGTGCCCACCAATGTACTCGAAAGCCTTGGGTGGACATGAAGCCACACACCGTATGCATGGGTGAGCCTATGTACCTGCTCACAAGGTTGGGAAATGTGAGGGGGTCCCTGGAAGAGTGCGGGGCGAGGGCGAGTAGATGGATCTTGTGGTCTTTGGAGCCTTTCGGGCTGTGGAGGAGTTCCCAGAAGTGAAGGTTCCAGCGGGTGGCTGGGATGTCTAACGCTGGGCCACATGCTGATGCTAGCCTGACCCCTTTCTTTGTCTGCAGGACTATGACCTTTGCATCAACTGCTACAACACAAAGAGCCACACCCACAAGATGGTGAAGTGGGGACTGGGCCTAGACGACGAGGGCGGCAGCCAGGGTGAGCCGCAGTCTAAGAGCCCCCAGGAGTCACGGCGCCTGAGCATCCAGCGCTGCATCCAGTCCCTGGTGCACGCCTGCCAGTGCCGCAATGCCAACTGCTCGCTGCCGTCCTGCCAGAAGATGAAGCGGGTTGTACAGCACACTAAGGGCTGCAAGCGCAAGACCAATGGAGGCTGCCCAGTATGCAAGCAGCTCATTGCCCTTTGCTGCTACCATGCCAAACACTGCCAAGAAAACAAATGCCCCGTGCCCTTCTGCCTCAACATCAAACACAAGCTCCGCCAGCAGCAGATCCAGCACCGCCTGCAGCAAGCGCAGCTCATGCGCCGGCGAATGGCCACCATGAACACCCGCAACGTGCCTCAGCAAAGTCTGCCTTCCCCTACCTCAGCACCACCAGGGACCCCTACACAGCAACCCAGCACACCCCAGACACCACAGCCCCCAACCCAGCCCCAGCCCTCGCCTGTGAGCATGTCACCAGCCGGTTTCTCCAGCGTGGTCCGAACTCAGCCCCCCACCACAGTGTCCACTGGGAAGCCCACCAACCAGGTGCCAGCCCCACCACCCACCCGCCCAACCCCCACCTGCAGCAGTGGAGGCGGCCCGGCAGATTGAACGCGAGGCTCAGCAGCAGCAGCATCTGTATCGGGTGAACATCAACAACGGCATGCCCCCGGGACGCACAGGCATGGTGACTCCCGTGAACCAGATGGCTCCTGTGGGCCTGAATGTGCCCCGACCCAACCAGGTCAGTGGGCCTGTCATGCCCAACCTGCCCCCCGGGCAGTGGCAGCCAGCTCCCATCCCGCAGCAACAACCGATGCCGGGCATGCCCAGACCCGTGATGTCTATGCAGGCCCAACCAGCTGTAGCCGGACCACGGATGCCTAACGTGCAGCCGCCTCGGAGCATCTCACCCGGCGCCCTGCAGGACCTGCTGCGGACCCTGAAGTCTCCCAGCTCCCGGCAGCAGCAGCAGCAGGTGCTCAACATCCTCAAGTCAAACCCTCAGCTGATGGCAGCTTTCATCAAACAGCGCACAGCCAAGTACGTGGCCAGTCAGCCCGGTCTGCAGCCCCAGCCCAGCCTCCAGGCCCAGCCGGGCCTGCAGCCCCAGCCTGGCCTGCACCAGCAGCCCAGCCTGCAGAACCTGAATGCCATGCAAGCCAGCGGGCCACGGCCCGGTGTGCCTCCGCAGCAGCAAGCAATGGGAGGCCTGAACCCCCAGGGTCAGGCCCTGAACATCATGAACCCAGGACACAACCCCAGCATGGCAAGTATGAATCCACAGTATAGAGAGATGCTGCGGAGGCAGCTGTTGCAGCAGCAGCAGCAACAGCAGCAACAGCAACAGCAGCAACAGCAGGGCAGTGCTGGCATGGCTGCAGGCATGGCAGGACACAGCCAGTTCCAGCAGCCTCAAGGACCTGGAGGCTATCCCCCAGCCATGCAGCAGCAGCGAATGCAGCAGCACCTGCCCATGCAGGGAAACTCCATGGGCCAGATGGCAGCTCAGATGGGACAGCTCAGCCAGATGGGGCAGCCTGGGCTGGGCGCAGACAACACCCCCAACATCCAGCAAGCTCTGCAGCAACGGATTCTGCAGCAGCAACAGATGAAGCAGCAGATTGGGTCCCCAGGCCAGCCAAACCCCATGAGCCCCCAGCAACACATGCTCTCAGGACAGCCACAGGCCTCGCACCTCCCTGGCCAGCAGATGGCCACATCCCTTAGTAGCCAGGTGCGATCTCCGGCCCCTGTCCAGTCTCCACGGCCCCAGTCCCAGCCTCCACATTCCAGCCCATCACCACGGATACAGCCCCAGCCTTCACCACACCACGTCTCACCCCAGACTGGTTCTCCCCACCCAGGACTTGCAGTCACCATGGCCAGCTCCATAGATCAGGGACACTTGGGGAACCCCGAACAGAGTGCAATGCTACCACAGCTGAATACCCCCAACAGGAGTGCATTGTCCAATGAGCTGTCCCTGGTCGGCGACACCACGGGAGACACCCTAGAAAAGTTTGTGGAGGGTTTGTAGCATTGTGAGAGCATCACTTTTTTTTCCTTTCATGTTCTTGGACCTTTTGTACTGAAATCCAAGCATCTAGGTTCTTTTTATTCCTAGATGGAACTGCTACTTCCAGGCCACGGAAGGGTAGATTGCTGTTTAAAGAAACAATACAAAGAATATATTTTTTTGTTAAAAACCAGTTGATTTAAATATCTGGTCTCTCTTTTTGTTTTTTGTTTTTGTTTTTTTGTTTTGGGGGGAGGGGGGATTGTTTGGATTTTTTGTCGTCATTGCTGGTGACTCATGCCTTTTTTTAACGGGAAAAACAAGTTCATTATATCCATATTTTTTATTTGTATTTTCAAGACTTTAAACATTTATGTTTAAAAGTGAGAAGAAAAATAATATTCAGAAACTGATTCTTGAAATAATGCAAGCTTATAATGTATCCCGACAACTTTCTGATGTTGCGGGAAGATTTTTTCTATTGTGAACTCTGTGGGCGTTCTCCAAGTATTACCCCTGGACGATAGGAATTGGCTCCTACGTGCACACACATACACACCCACACACATCTATCTATACATATTGGCTTAAGCCAACTCTTGTCTTGCAGATGTAGAAATTGTTGCTTTGTTTCTCTGATAAAACTGGTTTTAGACAAAAAATAGGGATGATCACTCTCTTAGACCATGCTAATGTTAATAGAGAAGAGCATTCTTTCTTCTATGTGAAACTTGAAATGAGGAAAAGCAATTCTAGTGTAAATCATGCAAGCGCTATAATTACTATAAATAAGAAAATTCAAGAAGATTCAATCACTGTATAGGACGGTAAAGTACCAACTCATTTCTTATATCATATTGTTAAATAAACTGTGTGCAACAGACAAAAAGGGTGGTCCTTCTTGAATTCATGTATATGGTATTAACACTTAGTGTTCGGGGTTTTTGTTAATGAAAATGCTGTTTTCAACATTGTATTTGGACTATGCATGTGTTTTTTTCCCCCATTGTATATAACGTACCGCTTAAAATTGATATAAATTACTGAAGTTTTTAACATGTATTCTGTTCTTTAAGATCCCTGTAAGAATGTTTAAGGTTTTTATTTATTTATATATATTTTTGGAGTCTGTTCTTTGTAAGACATGGTTCTGGTTGTTTGCCCGTAGAGGAGGGGGGTGGGCAAAGTCCTAGTAGTCATTCAGATGGCCACAGGACTCAACCGAGACCTGGAATATTCTTTCCAGTGACCGAGACAGTCAGCTCCGTGATGGCTGTACACATTCGATGCTCACGAAGGCACTTCACCCACAGAGCTAGGGACACAAATGGGTCAGTAAAAGTACTTTGCCTCCTGTCCACCATCCCTCTCTTAGTCACCCCACCCCAGCAACCCTAGGGAGGTTCCTGCATTTGTTTTTGGTCTACCCCACCCCCCTTCCTATATGCCGATTCCAATCCCAGAATTGATGCAAAGGGTGCTCCAGGGAGTAGAGGTGGTTTCTGGGCCCCCTCCCCCTGAAATTGTTTGTTCAGTGGGGAGGATGCCGCCATGCAGTATGTCCTGCACAGCCTCCAACACTGGGCTGGACAGACAGAGCTTTAGCCCTTCATTCCCCACCCTCTAGAAATAGTGAGGTGCAGTCCTGGAGGCTGCTGAGGGGCGACTAGAGCCCTGGCCACCAGCCTTGCTGTGGTGAGAAGCCGCCTCCAGCTTTCAGGGATACTTGCACTCGGGCACCAGGTCGGCCCCTCTGTGTCCAGTTTCAGGTGACCTTACTGAGGGTGACACTAGAGTTCCTGAATGCTGTAAAAATCCCATCTGAGAGGACCGCCACCACCTGGATAGTTGAAATTAGTCCTCTAGAGTATGCCCCCTTCCAGGGCACTGGTGAACTGAGTTCTGTCTCATCGCTTGCCCCCCCAACCAGAGAGTGGTCTAGATCAGGAGTTGTGTTAAATTTTGAAATTGTTGCCCAAATAGCTTTTGTTTGGGCCCTGTGTTTACAGAAATATTTTCAAAATACTTGATTCGGGAATCTAAATTTGAGGAAACTTTCTAAGAAATTTGTTTTAGCACAGAGCTTACTTAGAATCTTCTAGATTAAGCCAAGTAAGAATAAGATCATCTGGCCGTCCTTGCTCAGCTTGCCCACTTCTCGCACCCATGACGCTCTTTCTCCCCCAGTTGGAAAGCCCTGACCCCCTGTTCAGACAGGAAGGGGTGAGCCATCTGGGGCCCTAGAGAGGCGGCCCAGGCCCAAACTCCAGATGTGCAGCCTTTTAACAGTGGGAGGCATCTTTTTTCAGATGATCCTGGAATCCAAAACTGGACCGACCTCATCTTGGAGTCCACGTCCCTGCAATCCAGATGCCAAAGGATGCAGCTGAGGGTGTGGTCTGTGGGTGCCCATCCTGCACTTGGCGTATGGAAATGTCTCTAAGAGCTGGAAAGCCCGGATGCTGTGTCTCAATGCTGTATACTTAGGAGGAGAAGAAAACAGTCCTATATTTGTGATCAAAAAGAGGAAACTTGAAATGTGCTGGTGTTTATAATAAAAGCTGGTAAAACTGCTTGGATTCAAAGATGGTTCCAGTTGGCTAATGACCCTTAGAATTAGCTTAGCAGCTAGTCAGCATAAGACTGAAAGGGCTTGGTTGAGTTTGTCTAGTGAGTGTGTTTGACTATGTTTTTGAGAATTTAGCATGTTAAAAGCAGGAATTGAATGCAACCTCTGCAAAGGCTTCAATTTTTAAGATCTCAGGCTGAAGACACACAACTTTCTCCTTTTGATTGCTATAAAATGAAACCAAAGACTATTTAAGCCAAACAGAGCTTTTATCACTGCATAGGAGAATGGGCTACTCTGAAAAAGGAAAGTCCTTTGATGACGGAGCTGAGTTCTAGGAAATAGTCATTGTGCCATAGGAAGTTCTTTACTCGAGAACAGTGCTGGGAAGTAGACACTGCAGCAATGTCACCTTAGCCAGTGGATGTGCAGGAGCATGTAGGAATGGTGACAAAACCCACTTGGGATCATAAAGCCACAGTGTACCTTCCCAGGATGTCCCATGTTCATTCCACTGCATGACTCGGGTACATCCATTGTGCAAAGTGGAGAGTATGGAAGGGTCAGTTACAGCAAATTAGAGTGAATGTAGCACCCAGGCTAACAGGCTAGACTGAGGAACTTTGGGTGAGTAGATGAGAAGGCAAATGGTGTTTTCAATGTGCTCACACCTTTCTAGAGAGAATTTACTAGGATCTATTGAGCATGATACCACTAGAATTACTTCACTAAACTGAAAAATTCAAAGGGTGATGAGAGAACACCTTGGTTAAGGAAATGGTACAGATATGTTGGAGGGGCTTCAGAGGAGACAAGTAAGAGATCTAGTCATAGGAAGCATGGGCCTGAGGCTTCTGTGAGGCTGAGAATCAGTACTGACAGCGTGGTGGTACTTGGGCACCAGGGCCTCAGCCTTAAGTGAGCTCCCTAAGCTCTGCTTTCTTGTCTGAATGAAGATAACTATACTGGGTAACAAGTGCTGTTTAAATGCATTATCAACTCCTTTGCCCTGGCCATGAGGTAGGAGGATGGAGGCAGTAATTTACCTGAGTTCATGAGCAGCAAGGGAAGACATGGGCCCAAGCCATGTTCCTGTGCCCAAAAGGAGCTTTTCCTCCTGGCCGTGAAATTTGCCCTACATGCCTGCCTCCCCTCCATATTCCACAGATTCACCTTGAACCCACTTTGGGGAAGTGAGAACAGTACATCGTAACCCCTCAAAAGTCACAGTAAATGGTAACAGTCCTTACAAAGAACTATGTGGGACTCAGTCTACCTGTATCTAGTGCCCGCTGGTTCACTTTGGCCTCACAGATAAAGAAATACTGACGGTGTTGGTCAGCTCTAGTGTCCAAGCTATAAACTCGCAGTGTAGATGACTTTAACCCACCTCCCACCCAACGCCTGGAGAGGGCTAAGTGACTGAAAGGGACTTTAATGCCTGGTCCTGAGTCTCCAGGGCTCTGGCGCAACAAGGAAGCCTCTTATAAACTGACTTTTTAAGTCAACAATAGCTACTATATATAGCCATACCAATGAAGTTCAAACGAAAGGATCCTCAAGGGAGGTAGTGTGGTTTACAGAATGTTCCAAGTAATGGTCCTTCGGGAAAATGTCCGGACAGGACATTCTTGGGAAGGACTGAGGGTTGTGACCAGGCTCCTGCACCTTTTCCCCTCTCCTGCCAGCACGAGCAAGGCTGCCAGGCTCCCTGCGCCAGGCCCCTTCCTTCCTTGTCCTCTCCTACCCCACCCAGGACCCTTCACACCTGGGCACAGGTTGCAGGCCCACAGAAGAGGGAAAGTTATTTTAACGTGCTGCTGCACAGGGAGTGGCAGGAGGTCTGCTGACGAAGGGAAAGTCTTAGGGACCAGATGCTGGCACCATGGCTGTGCTCCCATAGCTAGATGTAGAGAAAGGGGCAGGGAAGTGAAGAGGGGCAGGGAGTCATTCAGAGTCAACAGGTTCAGCAGCCAGAACTGGTGTCACCAATGAGAGGAAGAGCTCTGCAGGCAGAAGCATGGAGAACTCTCCGGGATTTAAGGGAGGCCCATCCTCACTTGTTCTCTCTAGACATTTGAGTTCAAGTACGCAAGCTTTCTCGAAGCACTGAGTTTGTCCACTCAGCATCTATTGAGCAGATCCTAGGCTCTGAGATACAATCCTTGGAGAACTCAATAGAGACAGACAACAACTGGAGGAAGTGCTAGATGGCGTTAGAGCTCAAAGCAGGGCACAGAACCCAGTTTGTGTTGAAAACAAGGAAAATGTCTCTTAGGGCCAAGAATTGCATAGTGTTCCATAGTTTAGGAAACGCATTCTTCTCCTTAGCACTGCCATGTGCTCCTTAGGACAGTGCTGCTTCAGCTCTAATGTGCATTATGAATTATCTGGGATCTTGCTAAAATCCTGATTCGGTAGGTACTGGGGGGTGGGGGGGGGAGGCTGAGTTTCCAAGTCTAACGCTCCCAGCTGAAGCTGCTGCTGCTGGCCCTGAGTCTATACCAGCGGTTCTCAACCTGTGGGTTGCGACCCCTTTGGCGGTCAAACGACCCTTTCACAGGGGTCGCCTAAGACCATCCTGCATATCAGATATTTACATTACGATTCATAACAGTAGCAATATTACAGTTATGAAATAGCAACGAAAATAATTTTATGGTTGGGTCACAACATGAAGAACTGTATATAAAGGGCCAGAAGGTTGAGAACCACTGGTCTATACTTTGAGGAGTAAGCCTACAGGGTACCAAGAAAAAAAATCTTGACTTTGAAACTGCCTTACTTAATCTCAATGTTCACAACAAACGTGGGTTTAGGGAGAGGGGGTTTGGTCAAGCGGTTCTTTGGCCTCCTTCACAGCATTTGTTCTGAGCTGGAATCTCCTGCCACTTTTGTCTTCCTGGGCCTCCGGCCTTCCTCAAATCCCAAAATAAGAATGTGGCAGGACCACAGGAAGCCTGAGGTCCTCTGGCTGGGACAGGAGTCAGGCAGAACCCAGGCTGCAAACAGCCCCGCAGGGCTTAAAGCCCTGAGCTACCTGGAAAGAGTGCCTGGTGTTTTGTTTGCCCCAGGACAGGTGCAGGGAGCTGTCCTGACTGTGAAGTGCAGTGCACATTGTGAGGAAAATAAAGAGTCACATCTTGCTTGCTTTTCCGTAGAAACAGAAGAGGAGCCTCACCCTGACCAGCTTCCTGGGTGAGGTGACTCCGTGGGGCAAGTGCCGGGTCAGTCCCATCCTTCCTGTTTCTTGAACTACAGGTGCAGCACCCACCACTCACAAGAGACCTGGCTGACGCCAATGGACCATGGCACCCTGCCCCATGCCCAGGGGATGTTGGCACCTTCAAGGAAAACATCAACAGTCTGCATTTCCACTCTGTCCGTTGATACTCCGCTGGACCAGAGAATCCCAACCAAGGAAACTATCTTTATATCTGAGGAGACACAGTCTTGGCAGTGGGAACTCTGTGAACACCACCCACCTGTTGAG